AGAGGCGAGGCTGTAGCGTGAAGAGTTGCTGTGGTAGCAATGTAATCACGTGAGCCCACTGTTGCTGCTGCTGATAGTGTTGCTGCTGCTGCTCTCATTGCTTGTATTGCTGCTCTGTTCTCCCTGCCTGTACTGCTGCTGCCCTCCTTGCTTGTGCTACTGCTGCTGCTCTCCCTGCTTGTATTGCTTCTGCTCTCCTTGCTTGTACTACTGCTGCTGCCCCCCTTGCTTGTGCTACTGCTGCTGCTCTCCTTGCTTGTGCTACTGCTGCTGCTCTCCTTGCTTGTGCTACTGCTGCTGCTCTCTGCTTGTACTGCTGCTGCTCTCCTTGCTTGTGCTCCTGCTGCTGATATCGGTGCTGCCAGTGCTGTCGCTGCTCCTGCTGTTGATATCGGTGCTGCCAGTGCTGTCGCTGCTCCTGCTGTTGATATCGGTGCTGCCAGTGCTGTGCTGCTCTGCTGTGATATCGGTGCTGCAGTGCTGTCGCTGCTCCTGCTGTTGATATCGGTGCTGCCAGTGCTGTCGCTGCTCCTGCTGCTGATATCAGTGCTGCCAGTGCTGTTGCTGCTCCTGCTGTTGATATCGGTGCTGCCAGTGCTGTTGCTGCTCCTGCTGTTGATATCGGTGCTGCCAGTGCTGTTGCTGCTCCTGCTGCTGTTATCGGTGCTGGCAGTGCTGTTGCTACTCCTGCTGCTGTTGTCGGTGCTGGCAGTGCTGTTGCTGTTGATTATCGGTGCTGCTGCTCCTGCTACTGATAATTTTTGTGCTACTACTAGTGCTGCTGCCACTAGTTGTGGTGCTACTGGCATTATATTTCTGCTAGTGATACTATTGTTGTTGCTGCTAGGGCTTTTTCTGTTCTGGTGGCGGTGGTGCTGCTGGTGATGCTTCTGTTAGTATGTACTACTGATGCTGCCGCTGTCTTTACCGCCATCATCATTACCACAACCACACATGTACCAGCACCTTGCTGCTGCTGTACTGTCATCACACACACGCACCATAACACTATCATTCACCATACCGCAAGAGCAAGCTGAACATTATCTTGGAATGTTGGAAGGAGATACGTACACGAGATGGCCGACCTTCCCAGCCCCCCCCCCCCACACACACGCACAGACAGACTTTGTCGACATGCGTAACGCTGTAGGCTGGAACCAATGAACGCCGACAAGGGAAACGTGAGTGAATGCACCCGGAATGTTGCTGGGCGGCAGGCTTCGTAATCTGCAGGAGAGGGGGAATATATATAGATGCTAAAAGGTATGAACATGTTCTGAGAGGACATGTTGAGCTCTGAGTTGTGGTAGGAAATTGTGTGTGTGTGTGTGTGTGTGTGTGTGTGTGTGTGTGTGTGTGTGTGTGTGTGTGTGTGTGTGTGTGTGTGTGTGTGTGTGTGTGTGTGTGTGTAAGTGTAATGCACTTTGAAGGAATGACATTGTGTGTTTCGTTGCTTCGACGAGAGGAAAGGTGTGGAAAAGAGGGGAGAGAGAAAGAAGAGGATGATGATGTGTAATGTTTTTACGTTGCTGTAATGTAAAATTAGGTTGCAGTGGATGTCCAGAGAGTGTTATGATGGTTTGAATTTCAGCAGACTTCTGACATGTCATTGTTGCAAATCAACGAATCTGTGAGATTAAAAATAATTAACATTCAACAGTAAATAATTATCCAGAACATAACCTGGAACTCATTTCAGGACGAAGTGAAGGTTTGTATGTATGTAATGTGTCGATTTCACCTCTGAAGTTTTGTTAACCCGATCCGCACTAGTTCATATAAACAAAAGTGTTTTATTTCTGCTTGCAGAGGGTGAGATGTGTTCGTGATGTACGTACGTGTATGGGGGGAGGGGAGGGAAGAGTAATTTTTCTGTATTATAAAATCAATACGGCCAACACAACTAAAGTTTTTTGTGCATGCCAATTTTCGAATTTTATACGATCTAGGCGGCACATAGCCTCATTGGATACTAAAAGCCACTCGGGACAATATTAATTTATACTGTTATGTTGAAAATGGTATAAAATACCGACAAGTTGATGATTAGGACACATGTGCAACAGTTGTGTGTCTTTATTGTTGAAAAGTTTCACCTACACAGTAGACTTCTTCAGTTAAATACAGAGGCAGCGGGTGTAGTAGTGAAATGGAGACGTAATCAGTCCATCAATCTTGGAGAAATAGTATTTGAGGTGGTCAAATACTATTTCTCCAAGGTTGATGGACTGATTGCATCGCCTTCATATCATTACTACACCCGCTGCCTCTGTATCTGACTGAAGAAGTCTACTGTGTAGGTGAAACATTTCAACAATGAAGATACCCAACTGTTGCACATATCTTAATCGTCATCATTAATTTATACTAACGGTGGTAATGATTGTTATTAGTCATCACTAACGGACACTGGAACAGCATTGGTCCTTAACAGTGACTGAGGACACCAGCAGCCACACCTGATCACCACTGGTTACAAGGGTCACTCCTGGTCACCTTCAACATGCGTAACCGTCACCTTCAATGGTACAATCAGCGTCATTGACAGCAGTAACAACGAATACAAAACAATCATCAACAATGGAGGTGCACTTACGTAGTGGCTGCCTGAATGAAGAGTTTGAGGAGTGAGAGAACTGACACAGAAGAATCCAGACACAAATATAAACAAATTGAAGAGTGAGACACTAGTGCAACATTTGGGAATCTTTATTGATGACATTTCGCCAGCCAGTGGCTTCTTCAGGCCAGTACACAGAACGGTGGAAAATGAGGAGTTTGAGGTAATCAGTCCCTCAGCCTGGAGTCGATGTATTCAATCCATGGACTAAATACATCGACTCAACTAACTTACCTTAAATATTATACGTATATAAATTGATCTGAGGGTAAAAGTATATAAACTAACATAGGAGTTACGACTGCTTCCCGTTTTCTAGGTTCTTTCTCTTATGAATAATAACTGGATGACTCACGAAATTGTAATAACACGATTGCAGACAAACCACAGTACTGGATGCATTACGGTCGTTGGGTGATCCCAGAAATGTGTCCCCGTACTCAGTAACCCCAGTCCCCTGTGCCTCAGTTTACGCGATTGGAACAGTGCAGAGTGCGACATAAGGTGATAATAGGTGTAGATGGGTGTGAGTTGGACTTGATTGGCTTGGATCAGTAGGCCTGCATCAAGTGCTCCTTCCTTAAGTGGGTGTGACTTGGAAATACCTAGCATGGGCCAGTAGGCTTGCAGCAATGCCCGTTCCTTCTTAAGTGGGTGTGACTTGAACCTACCTAGCATGGGCCAGTAGGCCTGCATCAATGCTCATTCCATCCTTCTTAAGTGGATGTGATTTTGACCTACCTAGCATGGGTCAGTAAGCCTGCAGCAAGTGCTCCTTCCTGCTTAAGTGGGTGTGACTTGAACCTACCTAGCATGGGCCAGTAGGCCTGCAGCAAGTGCTCCTTCCTTCAAAAGTGGGTGTGACTTGGAGGTACCTAGCATGGGCCATAGGCCTGCAGGAGTGCTCTTCCATACCTAAGTGGGTGTGACTTGGACCTACCTAGCATGGGCCAGTAGGCCTGCAGCAGTGCTCCTTCCATCTTTCTTAAGTAGGTTGACTTGGACCTACCTGGCATGGGCCAGTAGGTTTTCTGCAGTTCTCCTTTTTTATGTTTTTAATAAAACTGGCAAATTGAAATTTACACAGCTCTGAGTGACATGCTGTTTTAATAATAAAACCCACCAATGGTAAAAGTTTGAAACCGATCAAGAAAGGCATTCTCCAGTAATTGATCTGATTCCATGGATTACAAGGTTATTAGCTATATCAGCAAAATTTAAAATTTGCACCTGCTTATGAGTTATCATTTTTATAGAATGCATCATCGGTAATATTTTGAAGCCAGTCAGAAAAATTCTTTAGCTATTGAATATAGAATATTACTATTTATTCAATAAAATTGGCAAATTAGGATTGCCACCCAATGGCAGCGTGAACCTTGTGTTCAGGAAGTCACACCAGTGGTGAAAAATTTGAAGTCGATCAGATGAGTTATGGCGCGGATTCCAGCGATTCCTTTATTTTTATTAATTTACCACATTCACAAATTTGCCAGCACGCAGACACTTTATATATACTCTTCTGGCCCTAAGATGCATCAGCCGTCCAGAAGAGTTAAACTGAATATGATTTAACGTGATTTATTGGGAGCAACAATTTCGCACTCCTGTACACATAAAATAGTGAAGTAAGCACTTACGCTGCTGAATTTCACTCTCCACCTTCTTTTGAACGTTTGAAACTCCACCACTGAGGATTTTAGAAGTTATGAGCCATTCTAGGATGCTGGGAATGGGGCCAATAATTTTGGCCTTAGAGTACGTGAACATGCCAGTTCTAAGAATTTAGTCCTCGTTACCGTACACAGGTGTTGAAAATTCGAAGCCGAGTGGATGTGTTCTTGAGCTGAGAAAAATAATGCCGAAAAGTTGGAGGAAGAACATTTGGTAACCTCGTCAAGATCCCCCATCAGGAATACTTAATAATAATAATAATAATAATTAATATAAATTGAACGGAAGTCAGCTGGGATACCTGGGTTGTTATGGCAAAAAAAATTTAATTTTAAATGTAACTGTGGCTTACAATATTCATTGTTAATGATGTTCAGTGTTATTTTACAGTCCATTACATCTGAACTGTGCTTAGGTTAGTCTGAGTTATTCCTACACTGTATTTTTTTTTTTTTTGAGGGGGGTGGTACTCTGGGTTATGAATCTTACACTGCATGGCTTTTTTTTGAGTTATTAATTCTACAGGTTTATAATACAAATCTTCGTCTTTGTACGCGAGTTTGAAACACAATGTTGACTAAGCTTACCTCTGGAATATTAAGCTTATCTCTGGTACATGAAGTTTGTGTCTAGTACACGAAGCTGGTTTTCTGAGTATAAATTTGTATATACTAAGACTGTTGCGAGTGTCTGGTGCCCACAGACTGGGAGAAGCCTCATGGAGACAGGAACATTGCACGAGCAGGGGCACCCGTCCGTCCAGCAGCCATACACTACAACCTACCACACGACATTGACTACCACCCGTACTCCAAGTTTACCAGCATATACTTCAAGGTAAGTGCTGAGCAAAGGTACCGGGTGAAGGGAATGGAGGTTGAGGGAGGAGTAGCTGTAAAACTGTGTGCGTATGTGTGTGTAACGTGCATAGAAAGGTGTAAGTGTTTGTACGAGTGTTGCAGTGATGTAGGTAGTGTTTTGCGAAATAAATTACCATAAAACTTTACTATCTTGCGGTTACATTAAAAAAAATGCCCATCAGCAGTCCCGTAATCCAGTCACCAGTAATTCGTAAATGAGGCTAAATCAGCAGCCTACGACTGTACTTGTGCATCCATCAACTGCACAAACCTCCCCACCCCAAAACACCTCCAGAGAGTACATAAATGATATACAATACCGAAACGTCTGCAAATAAAGATACCCAGATGATGCACATGTGTCAAAGTCTTCACCTTCAATGAGCCCTAACAACCGTGTTAACGCTTCCCTCTCTTCCATTCAGTCACACATCTGGGGAATGAAACGAGAACCCATCAAGACACCTTTCTTATCCAAGTCTCGGGATGCTGACTACAGTGACTCCCTGGCAGTCTTCAAGCTCATCCTTAGATTCATGAATGACCATACTCTGTCTGGCGTCAGGGAAACTGTGCTCGGTAACTACATCGCTAACAAGGTACTTCAACCTCTACTACATTCATCAATATACATACTTGCGATTTGACCACGTTACTAGGAGTACATCACATAAGTGATTTGTATTTATCACGTTCTTCGAAATTGTGATTTATGCATCACGAAAGTTTGGTGTTATTCTTTCATTGTGGTTAAATATCATATTAAGATGTGTGTGTTTTGTTACTTTGTTAATAAATATTTGTATTTGATCGTACTTTAAGAAACTTCTTTTTTCGTGTATTTCTCACTTTGTTCCAAAAGTCATCGTTTTAAATGATTTTTTTTCTTAATCCAAAGCTATTGCTTAGTCTTAAAACTTGCCTGTGGTGGTTTTTATTTTTTTTCACGTTCTTTATACACTTTGTAATTATAAAATAATAAAAAAATTTCCGTTAGCACCTAAAAATTTTCATTTTGTTGTTTGGATATAAAAAAATGTGACTTACTACGTTGACCTGTGTTCACCTGTGTTAACCTATGTTGACCAATGCTAACTTATGTTGATGTGCTGCAGGGTCTGGTGAACGAGCGACTTCAGGATGAGATAATATGTCAGTTATGTAACCAGACGTGGCGCAACGAGAACACTGCCAACGCTGAGAGAGGTTGGCTCCTGCTGGCCAACTGTCTCTCTGTCTTCCCTCCATCTTCCACACTCTACAAGTACATTCTCAAGTGAGTGTCTATACGCTACAAATATATCCTCAAGAGAGTGCTTATACTCTACAAGTGCTTCCTTAATGAAGTGCTTACTCTACAGGTACAGTTTCAAGTGTCTAAATGTTATAAGTGGCAACTGAGAGTTTGCGCATAACTTTTGTGACAAAGACTCCAACGTCATCTATTTTTTTTTTTAATATTTAGCTTATTAGGCTTGGTGGTCCCAAGATTTCATGTATATTTGATCATGTTGATGTGTCTTCTGCAGGCATGTGTCGGACCATGGTCTCAACGGATACGCAGGTCTGTGTCAGAGGAAGCTGCTCTCCTCACACAAGAGGTCATCAGGAGTGGCCCGCACCTACCCACCCACTGACCTCGAGTGGAGGGCCAACCGCAAGAAGGCTCGCATGGCCCTTGAGGCTCATTTTCCTGATGGTTAGTCACTGTATTATTACCTAGTAGTACTAGGTTCTTGAACTTTAGTCTACATTTTGACCAATTGGCTGGATGTATTTGGATTTATTATGTTTAATTTTGAGAGAGATAGAGAAATATAGATATATTGATTTATTGACTTTAGAGATTCAGATTAGGTGGGCACGTCTCAGTGTAGCTTCTTATCACTGTTTTACACATCAGTTTTGCAGGCTAAGAACTGTTGCCCTACCTAAGCTCATTTCAAAGCCTAGCCCTATCTCCTTTATGTGTATTCTCAATTTACATATATTGAATCAGATATTAGTGTTATCACAATACTAATCACTACTGCACATACTGAACTAGTTGGCAGTCTAACGAACACAAACTTAAACTTATTCATCCCTCTCAGGCAGTACAGGAATAGGCGAGGTCGACTCGTGGACCACCGCTGAGGAGTTCGCAGCGGGTCTTCTGGACGAGCGTGGCATCACTAACAACGTAGGCTGGACAGTGGCTATAACGCAAGATGACACTATGGTGGAGACACCAGGTCTGGAGTATGTCTTGGACCTGATCGGAGAGAGGGAGGTACCTCCTGCCTTCCCTAGATGCACCTCCAGCCTCCTCACTACAGGTAGCAGTACCTTTCAGTCATTAAAATTTGTGTGAAGTGATAAACCTGGGTAGATCATTTAGTTAAGAAAATTATGGACTACTGTGGATAAAACACTTACAGTTCAGGACATTTATTAAAGGGAACTTTTGCCACGAGTCGCTTCTTCAGTCGTAATATTGAAACGTCTAAAAAGGGAACTTATACTATATAGTGGTGGAAGACCAGTGACATGAAGCGTGAGAGAAGTGAGTTGCGAGTAATGTGGATCATGTGATGAGTAGTGGGTATCATGTGATGAGTAGTGAGTATCGTGATGAGTAGTGGGTATCATGTGATGAGTAGTGAGTATCGTGATGAGTAGTGGGTATTATGTAATCAGTAGTGGGTATTATGTGATCAGTAGTGGGTATCATGTAATGAGTAGTGGGTATCATGTAATGAGTAGTGGGTATCATGTGATCAGTAGTGGGTATTGTGATGAGTAGTGGGTATCGTAATGAGTAGTGGGTATCATGTAATGAGTAGTGGGTATCATGTAATGAGTAGTGGGTATCATGTAATGAGTAGTGGGTATCATGTGATGAGTAGTGGGTATCATGTATGAGTAGTGGGTATTGTATATGTGGTATCGTATGTAGTGGGTATCATGTTATGAGTAGTGGGTATCATGTAATGAGTAGTGGGTATCATGTGATGAGTAGTGGGTTCGTAAAGATAGTGGATCATGTGACCAGTAGTGGGTATTGTGTGATGAGTAGTGGGTATCATGTAATGAGTAGTGGGTATCATGTGATGAGTAGTGGGTATCATGTGATGAGTAGTGGGTATGTGATGAGTAGTGGGTATCATGTGATGAGTAGTGGGTATCATGTGATGAGTAGTGGGTATCAAGTAATGAACAGTGGGTATCATGTGATGTGTAGTGGGCATCACGTGACAGCAGCAAGTTGGAAATTTGCAACATTCTGGATTGTGTACTAGGTTGGATATATTGAAACTGCAGGACTTCTGTGGGATGGTGTTACTGACAGCAACTAAGATGGTTTCCAGACATTTTCGTCTGTGATGATCGGTCTTTCAAATGATTAATTTGGCCTCATTCCACCTCGTAAGGTGTCCTTGATCGAACGCACCATTCAGTCAGGTCGACAAAGTCCTGACAAGGAACAGGTAGGTCTGAATCATCAGTGGTCACCCCGAGAAGGTTATTAGACTTGTTAACTGCTACATTTGTAAGTAAGGCAGTGACGTCAAAATTCATGAGCTTTTTATCACTTGCATCGAGTTTCCTTGAACGGCTACGGAAACTAGTGTTTCATGTGAATCTGGCTGATCGTGCCGAGAAGTTGTGACAGTTTGCTAACCCCCTACCAGCTTGTGTGGGACACTGCCAGCAACCGACGTATAGGTCTAAGAGGAACGTTTGGCTTGCAAGTGTTTTAGTTATCTGTAGTCTCGCTGACCTTGAGTTGGTGAGGAGGAGGTACAAGAACTTTTTACCCAGATCAGAGTTTCCTAAGAAAGGAAGATTGTTTCCTTTTCCACAACAGTTCGGGAATGGAGTAGTAGGAGTTGACATCACCTAACAAATCTTGGAACTTATTGGTGTAGTCCATAAGACTGAGGATCATTCCTCCCTTGTCTGCTCTGGTGATGAGAATGCGTCATTAGTGGCCAGGTTTTTAAGCGCTTAGATGTAGTAGCAACGTAGAATGATAATACTGTTGTGAAAAACAAGTAAACGGATATGTTTTTTAGCAAGATTAGTGTCCTTTACGAAGTGGATTGCCCGGGGGGGGGGGGAAGTAGCCTGATTTAAAATATTAAAAAAATAGTCTATAAGTCAGATTTCTTCAGAAATTCACAGAAAACACTGAATATGTGATCAAGAAGGTTAAATGAAAAGTCACATTAACAGAAATACATTTTCACTATTTATACCGTAGTTACAACACACCACCAATTAAATTTTTGGACTGAGCTCAAAATATATTTTTTGCAATGTTAACGTTTTTCAATGGTCAGATCATTGTTTAATTTACACACACGTACTTACCAGGAGCACAGCCAGAGCGTCGGTCGTCAGCACCGGTTCTCCTGCCCACTGTGGAGGTGACAGACACCACTCCCATCGAGGAGTCCCCAGTGGTGGCACGAAGGTATGACACTCCTTGCTGAATGTTGCTAGAATTCACAACTTAACAAACTGGAAATGAGAACTTGACGTTTTGAGCCATCCTGAGTCTTTATCAAGGCTTATTTATGACTTGGACCAAAGCGTTATCCAGTTTTTATTTTTAATACAGTAGCCATTTTAAATTTAGCAACTACTAGAGAAAATATAAATTCTGAAGAAGTTCAGTAGGGAAGTTAATACGGTAACTTTTATAACTGAATAATATTTTCCACATGCAACTATCATATATGTTCTTCAGGACCCGATCGCCTCCAGCCTTAACACGAAAACTTTCTAGAGAAGCTCTTGAAGCCCACGACCAGGTGATGAGCAACAGTAAGGAGGCAGCTGGGGATGGTATAGGACTCTCCAGAACGTCTGCCCTCAACAACCGTTACTTCGATGATAAGAACAAGAGTCGATCACTGGATAACCTCTTAGAGGGACCGCCTGATATTCAGGTTTGTAAATACAGTGCTTAGTTACTTTTTTTTTTTTTTTTAGTTCAGAGAATTGATCCCCGGACCTCTGTGGCGAGAGTCGCAGCTCTCACCACTGGACTATGTTAGTATTTGGTTCAAACCTACGGCATCGTTTCATATTTTTTTTACGGTTAATTAAGTTGCATTTTTTTGCAACTAATAGAGATTAGTTACTTAGTTTTTATTCCATCCCTTTGTTTTTATTTGCATTAATATCTTGAACACCTCTTTGTATCGATTCAAAACTTTCATCACTTATGAATATTCATAAAATGTCGTTTCATTAAGTTTGCTACATAAATTCATAAATTCCACTACTCATCACATAATGTGCTGGTCAGTCTTATTAAAAGTGTTGATCAGAAAGTTTTTTTTTTTTTTTTGCTACTCAATATATTTTTTACTATTTTCTTTCTCAATTTAAAATTAGTTAAGACTATTACTGTCGGCATGCAGAGACCTCAGTGTGATGTCAGGTACCTTATAAGCAGAGGTAGCTTCATGACGGTAGTTTATAATTATGTTATTCACCAGTAATAACACCAGGAATATAGCAAATAATATTGTTGCAGTAATAACACCAGGAGGCAACTCTGATGAAAACTCACAAACAAAAACATAAAGTGGGACCAAGTAAACCAAGTCCTAACCGATATAAGCTGGGAAGATATACAAAGCAACACAGACCCCAACGTATGCCTAGAACAGATTAACTTGGTGGCACTCGATGTATGCACAAGGCTTATTCCTCTAAGAAAAAGGAGGAGTAGATGTAAAATAGAAAGAGACAGGCGCTCCCTTTACAGGCGATGGAAAAGAATAACAGAGCGGCTAAAAGAGGTCAATATATCTGAAATGCGTAGGGAGACACTGGTCAGAGAAATAGCAAGCATCGAACTCAAGCTAAAGCAATCTTATAGGAGTCAGGAATCGCGGGAAGAACTAAAAGCCATAAATGAAATCGAAAGAAACCCAAAGTATTTCTTCTCCTATGCCAAATCAAAGTCGAGAACAACATCCAGTATTGGGCCCCTACTTAAACAAGATGGGTCCTACACAGATGACAGCAAGGAAATGAGTGAGTTACTCAAGTCCCAATATGACTCAGTTTTTAGCAAGCCGCTAACCAGACTGAGAGTCGAAGATCAAAATGAATTTTTTATGAGAGAGAGCCACAAAATTTTGTTAACACAAGCCTATCTGATGTTATCCTGACGCCAAATGACTTCGAACAGGCGATAAATGACATGCCCATGCACTCTGCCCCAGGGCCAGACTCATGGAACTCCGTGTTCATCAAGAACTGCAAGAAGCCCCTATCACGAGCCTTTTCCATCCTATGGAGAGGGAGCATGGACACGGGGGTCGTCCCACAGTTACTAAAAACAACAGACATAGCCCACTCCACAAAGGGGGCAGTAAAGCAACAGCAAAGAACTACAGACCGATAGCACTAACATCCCATATCATAAAAATCTTTGAAAGGGTCCTAAGAAGCAAGATCACCACCCATCTAGAAACCCATCAGTTACACAACCCAGGGCAACATGGGTTTAGAACAGGTCGCTCCTGTCTGTCTCAACTATTGGATCACTACGACAAGGTCCTAAATGCACTAGAAGATAAAAAAATGCAGATGTAATATATACAGACTTTGCAGAAGCCTTCGACAAGTGTGACCATGGCGTAATAGCGCACAAAATGCGTGCTAAAGGAATAACAGGAAAAGTCGATCCTTGGATCTATAATTTCCTCACTAACAGAACACAGAGAGTAGTCGTCAACAGACTAAAGTCCGAGGCAGCTACGGTGAAAAGCTCTGTTCCACAAGGCACAGTACTCGCTCCCATCTTGTTCCTCATCCTCATATCCGACATAGACAAGGATGTCAGCCACAGCACCGTGTCTTCCTTTGCAGATGACACCCGAATCTGCATGACAGTGTCTTCCATTGCAGACACTGCAAGGCTCCAGGCGGACATCAACCAAATCTTTCAGTGGGCTGCAGAAAACAATATGAAATTCAACGATGAGAAATTTCAGTTACTCAGATATGGTAAACACGAGGAAATTAAATCTTCATCAGAGTACAAAACAAATTCTGGCCACAAAATAGAGCGAAACACCAACGTCAAAGACCTGGGAGTGATCATGTCAGAGGATCTCACCTTCAAGGACCCTAACATTGTATCAATCGCATCTGCTAGAAAAATGACAGGATGGATAATGAGAACCTTCAAAACTAGGGAGGCCAAGCCCATGACACTCTTCAGGTCACTTGTTCTATCTAGGGTGGAATATTGCTGCACACTAACAGCACCTTTCAAGGCAGGTGAAATTGCTGACCTAGAAAATGTACAGAGAACCTTCACGGCGCGCATAACGGAGATAAAACACCTCAATTACTGGGAGCGCTTGAGGTTCCTAAACCTGTATTCCCTGGAACGCAGGCGGGAGAGATACATGATTATATACACCTGGAAAATCCTAGAGGGACTAGTACCGAACTTGCACACGAAAATCACTCACTACGAAAGCAAAAGACTTGGCAGACGATGCAACATCCCCCCAATGAAAAGCAGGGGTGTCACTAGCACGTTAAGAGACCATACAAAAAGTGTCAGGGGCCCGAGACTGTTCAACTGCCTCCCAGCATACATAAGGGGGATTACCAACAGACCCCTGGCAGTCTTCAAGCTGGCACTGGACAAGCACCTAAAGTCGGTTCCTGACCAGCCGGGCTGTGGCTCGTACGTTGGTTTGCGTGCAGCCAGCAGCAACAGCCTGGTTGATCAGGCTCTGATCCACCAGGAAGCCTGTTCACAGACCGGGCCGCGGGGGCGTTGACCCCCGGAACTCTCTCCAGGTAAACTCCAGGTAAACATGGATTAGCGCTTTTTTTTCAGTACCTCAGACACGGTCTTTCAGAACTGCTATAAACCTATATTATCATATGCTGTACACTGTTTTCAGCTTTCTGGCCAGTCGATGAAAGTGTAAAATCTTTATACGTATTACGTAAGAAGTTACATTTGTGCCTAGTAACCAAAATGCTCATATTAAAACTCTTTACAGTTGGCATAAATTTTCTTGGAAATTCCCGTATTGGATAGTTTTTCACTTTTAGCTCAAAGGACGCAGTTTTTTTAATTAAATTGTTGCAAAATCAATTAAAGCAGAGTACAAAATGTATATGGAACGTTGTCATACACTGAAATTTTAGATGAACCCTCTAGCGCCATTTTTAACTATGATAATTTTATTTAATTTTAAATGGGCTAGGTGTTTTATTCTGTATTGCAAAACTTGATTTGAAATTTGTCTTAGAATACGTCATATAGTGTACGAATGTTCAGTTTTAGGTATTTATAATACTAATACACTATACAAAAGTATTCTGAAAGATTTTTTAGTTTTCCTTATAGTAGTATACCTGTATTGCAGGGAAATATTGTAACTACTCTTGGTCCCACAGAACAGGCGTTAATATTGTATTATTGTTCGCACAACTCTCCACAGTTACCACTAGGATCCTTCACCACATGTTAAATATATAATGTGAGTTGACTTTCGCAGATGCTAGGTTTATCAAGAAGCCGCTTGAATGAACGCTACCACAGTGTGGAACGTCTTACTGAGCAAAGTACTGTTTATAATGGGCGAGCAACACAAGACCTCGACCACCTGGAGTCAGTCTCCCAGCGAGGAGTGGCCAAGTCACTCTCTGGCTCCAGGACCTGGAACAAATACGACCTGCTAGAAGAGAGGTTGGTGGTTAGATTTTTAAGCCATCAAGAATGTTTTAACTTCTAAAATGAGTAAAACTCATTGCATATATACTAAGATATACACTGCTGTTTTCAGTGCATACATTGTACATAAAGGCTTTCAGTTGCAATACAAATAGATGTTACATAATGTATAATTTGTATAGAGAGGAAATAGAAAATAGTCAAATATAAGATTTTATATGTATATTTTCATAGAAGGATTATTTCAGTTAGCAAATTACTCTTCAAATTGTGCATTTTATGTTAATCAGAAAGTTTATATGTGGAGAGTTATAAGTCTTAGTTTATTTATGACTAAAGTCATTCTTTATTCCTTGAAACACTGCCTCCTACTCAGTAAATCTTTGTCATATTTCTGAAGTAAAATGTGACACTAGAGTACTATATATATATTTTTTTTTTGGGTTTAACGTCATCAGCTCTACAATATATTTACTAAAATTATTATCCTATTCCATCTTCCCTCAGAAACGGTGTTGAAGGTGGGGAAGATGAGACCAAGACTGAATACTCGCGAGTGTCGAGCAGGTACATCAAAGGTGGGCAGGCGGGACGGAGGGCTCATGGGTCTGGTTCACATCATTCCAGCAGAGCATACATTGAGCGAGAGTATCTCAAGTCCTCAGCCATGTCAGATACTAGTGAGGCTCCCTCCTTAGGTGAGTGACTAAATAAACATTACACTAGTTCATCCTTACTGTTCCAACTATTTGTTCCTAATGAAGTTCTTCACTATTCAAGATTGTCTTAATCATTGTACTGTACTAGTCTAAATAGTGCTTCTACTTGTTTGAGCCATCGTTGCCTAAGACTTTCTATGTAAATAGGTAAACGTGTGTAAGTTATTCAGTGCAACGAGTAGTGATGGCTAAATTATCTGTTGACAAGAATGCTGCCTAACATACTACTCTAAAGACAGATTCTTTAAATCTTCCTTTTCTTGCAGCTTCTCATGTGCGTAGAGTACGTGTCCCTTCCCAGGCGTCAGATGTGGATCAATTCCTGGATGATCTTTTCATGCCAGTGCTCAACTCGCAGCTTGATGAGCTGTCTGATGCTCGATCTCTGGCTGCGTCTATTAAGGGCGGAGGTAACACTGTCTCATCACAACCAGTCTACACAGACGATGACCTGGATGACACTATTGTCTTGGCAAGGTATAACAGCTGTCATCACTCAATATCATTTGTAGTTACACTATTTTTAAATTGCTCATTTTTTATTTCTAATAATGAAAAAATCATAATTTCAGGACACGGCAGGGATCCTTCCGGCGTCAAAGTCTACTAAACATTCTACAAGATGTAGATCTTAACGAATCTTTGACCACCCTAGCGACTATACCCTTGCTAACAGAGGCCCTGAAAGGAGGCGGCCAGGGAGCAGCCGAAGTGGAGACTGGAGCACCTCCTACCACTGCGGGAGGTACTTTCTACCCTAATGTGTCAATGTCTGGAATGCCTGGGTCTCCTAATTCCTTCATGCCTGCTGGCACAGTTCCCCTCTATTCTGCAGGTGGTTAGTAGTGTTTACTTTGTTTTACTATGTTGTGTAATAGAAATAAATAGTTCGGTCATTTTACTATATAGAATGATAAAAGTATTGAGTGCAAAGTATATCTGTCTGGCAATGATGATAATGCTTCTGCAATATAAATTATTTTCCCAGGAATAAATATGCCAGGAATGCAGACACAAAGCCAGGCTACAAACGTGGATCATGGCCAGTTGCTTGTCCATCAACAAAACATCCAGCGAGCCTTCCTGCAATCTGCCGTGGCACAGAACATCCAGATCCAGCAGCACCTGATGGCACAGAACCAGGCGCTGCAGCAGCTACTTGCTCAGTCCATTCCGGTGAGTATACCGACCTTTCACCTGGTGAGAGGTCCTCCCTGTATGATGTGTTGATGAGTAGTCTTGATATGAATGATAGTTGTTTATTTCTACATTGATTATAGACAAACTTTTTAGATGACTTTTAGGATGTATTCCTTCTCTTCGACTGCTGAGCAAGATGTTTCCTGCAGCACATGGGCATGGCATCACGGGACTTTAGTCCACAGAGTGCCCTCGGCCTAAATATTCTCGGCATGATGTCAATGTCCGGGATGCCAATGACGCCAGGTATGACCATGGCTCAGGGGATGCCCATGATGTCAGGTATGCCCATGATGTCTGGCATCCCTCTGAGCCCTGGGGTACCAATGACAACTATTCCAAATATGGGAATGACTGGCTTGGCGGGCATGACAGGCATCTCGGGCATGGCAGGGGCAGCTGATGGAACCCAGGTTGGCAGGGGTCACTACCAGGTGGGCGGAGATACGTACTCCCTCCCTCAGAGACGCGGCATCAACAACAACAATAAGGTACCAGTGATGGGGGGGCGGCACAAGACAGCAGGAGAGGGAACTCGCTTGTAGGCCAAAGACACCCTGCAGGGAAAGCTTCTAGTGTCACTACTCTAGCACTGCCTTACTCACACACCTAGCCGCGGAACAAAGATAGTAAGACATCTAGGACAACTAACCTACTGTAACCTTAGGACTCCGACTGACAGATGTGGGCGTACTGCTGAGGCTTGTTGGTCCCCCTAGACACTGACTTTATTTAACTCACGAAGCATTTCATGAGTCGACGCCGTCGGGTATTAACCACCGGTGGTAGACTTGGCTTCGGTGCTTCTGATTGCTGTCCAAATAATTTTAAGCTTCCTGCTTCTCACGACCTGACATTTGTGCACTTCTCTGAATTCTTTCGAGTTTCTTCAATGATAATGCATTTATAATAAACTGAGCTAAAAAATCAACATAAATTCAGTACAGTATGTATACATATTAAACAATACCTTTATTAAATAATATATAAATGATCAACTACTTTAAACTGGAAACTAAACAGATTATAAGACAAATATTCTAACATTGTTTAACTCTGCAGGTATCATTCCAAGAGCCAGAACACAGTGAGTTGTGGAGTACTGAGAAGGCAGGAACAACAGAAGGGGAGGCTGATGGTGCATCAGCAGGAGCAGCCCGCAGGGTGACCGGCCCTCCCATGTCTCCTCCACCTCCCTTGGTGATGCTGAGTCCGGAATCAGGGGTACCTATGTTCTCCCAAGCTGCTGCACTCTCATCTCCCGTCGGAGAACAAAGCCAGAAGAAGAATTCAAATGCCTCGGATGATGCCAAAGTAAGGCACCAAGTGTGAGGGGAAACTTATTCCGTGTCGTTGTTGCTTCTTACTGTGGTGTTGGAGGGTTTTAGAGGAGAGTTGAGGTTCATTCTTGTGGGGGTTGAGGCAGGGAAGCTACGACCAATCTTGACACAGTAAAGTATTGCCTTGTTATTCTCTTGAACCCAGAAAGAGATAACATTGTACAGTAGATCAAATATAGTAGATATGGTATTGAATTCTGCTTCTTTAATGTTTGCTCTATATGTTAGATGGTATTAGTTATGTAGTATTTGGTTTATTCTGTTAAGAGAAGAAAATCTTACCTTTGTAATACTGTAGTAGATTTGAAGGTATAATAAAAAAATTACTCCTTGACCGCCACCACCATGAACGTCTGTTCACCAGCATCACTGCTGTCAGATGCATGCGTTATCATTAACCAACCATGGTAGATTTGCAGATGCCAGATTCATTATTAATTCCACATAAGCATTATACCAATGCAGGCCAGTTACTGCAAGAGATGGTATAGGCTCGATCCTCCACTAATGGTTAAACAGCAGGAATTTTATATTTACCCGTGATTTGAGGACCTCACCAAGGAGTCATTTTTTCACCTTGCACGTATCAAACCTCGTCTCACACACCTCACTAGCTGATGGAGTCTCCAGCACTCATCTCTCTCTAATGCACCTGCATGCCTCTGGCTCCCTCTCCACTCTGCAGATGTTCCATGACTTTAGTCTAGGACCTGGGTCCCCGGGCTCTCCTCCGCCACCACACAGCTACGGCCCTACTGAGTCCCCATGGGGAGGACTGGTACCCCCGCCTCCGCCCATGCCCACACACCTACAAGTTGAGGTACGTCAGCCAGAGTGAGACATAATAAAAAGGGAGATTAGGGAAAGTTTGGGAAAAGAAACGAGATGGAGAACTGAAGAAAGATTGATAAAGGTTTTGAGAGAGACTTTTATTGATAAAGTTTGAGAAAGGAGGGCGAATGAAAGAGAAAGACAGGGAACAATGAAAGAGTTGAAAGATATCCAATTAGTACAATATTATGTAATATATTATTATCACAGAAAAACCAACATTTTAAGTACAGATGGAGGGCAAGACGGCACTTAAAGGTTTCCTTGAGTTCGTACTTGCAGGAGCAGACACCATTACTGTCCCTCTCTACCTTGTTTTACACCCTCAAAGGGATGCCTTGATGCCTGTGAGGGGGTTCTTGATCCAAGGAAGTGGACCTATCCTCCCCTTCCATAAAACCTGATTACCTCTCTGTCCCCATGTGTTTAGATGAGTTTAGTTCATCTCCTAGACTATAATACTTCTTGCATATTGGGAGTAGCTGGCTGCTTCCTCTGTTGGAATTAGTTATGCACTCTGAAATGAATTAAGCACAGTTAAATGCACTTAGATACCAAGTACCTGTAACTGAGCATCAAAATGTATCATGTTAGTTGCAGAGTTTTGAGTTTCAGACCTAAAACCCAGGAGCTTGAAAAATAATTTATGAAATAATGTAGGCGGTATCCTTCCAGATAGAAACAAATATTTGTCTTAATGAATAACTAAAGTGTAATGAACATGTGTCGTTGCTCAATAATAACCCACATGGAGACAAAAACTCAGATTAATTGGTCTGTATATTTCGATCCCCTTCTGGGATCCTCTTCAGCAGATAAGTGAAAGGAAACATGAATATATAAGGAAGGTTACACCTCACCCCGAGAGGTGCAACTTTCCCTGCATATTCATGTTCTCCTTTCACTTGTGTAGTATCTGCTGAAGAGGATCCCAGAAGGGGATCGAAATATACAGACCAATTAATCTGAGTTTGTCTCCACGTGGGTTATTACTGAGCATTTATCTTAATGTTGGACTTAACAGGATGGTGCCGGAGGCTTCATGGACCCCTACCAGAGGGCCAAGACGGTGAGGATCGGCAAGTGGAGATGGCCGCCTCCGAAGGGAGAGGAAGACCCAAATGACTCCTTCCTGCAATTCAAGATAAGACAGCAGACCAAGAAGATGTCTAAACAACATGATGGAAAAGTACGGAGTATTTACCTATTTGAGTTGGAGGGGCGAGGAGGCTGAGCTCTATATCTCTATTTTGCTTCTTTATTTTTGACTGGCTGACGTGATATGTAGCATTTTCATGTATGAAATGCTTTGAATAACTATGGACTTATCCGTGGAAGTATTTCAAAATATAAGACAATTTTTTTTAGTGCACGTATATCTTCAAAAATATAATTTTTATTTAATTTATGAGGAAGGGTGAGATGTTAGCTTCTCAAGGGAGAAGATGAGGGAAGGTAGATGTTTTAATATTGCCGAGCTTAATAATGCCACTGGGATAAAGAAATTAGGATGAAAAGATTAACATGAATGTCCAATAAACAGGGGAGAGAATAGCAAGACTTGGATGAAAAGAAGTCTTTCATTCACATATCTTCTATATTAATCTGGTATTGTAGGATTCCCAGCGGCCCAGTCGTGATGAGAGTTTCACCATAGAGTGGGAGGAGTTTGAGGTGGGAGGCATTCCCAGCAGTGCTGAGTCCAGTCCTCGCAAGGACTCTTCACACCAACAGATGATGTACATAATGCAGTTACATCATCAGCAGCAACAGCAGCAGCAGCAGCAGCAGCAGCAGCAGCAGCAGCAGCAGCAGCAACACCAACAGCAACTACTACAGCAACAACAGCTACAGCAGCAGCAGCAGCAACAGCAACAGCAGCAACAGCAACAGCAGCAACAGCAACATCAACAGATGAAGTCCCAACAGACAAATGGGCACGGACCAAGCACTCCAAGAGAAAAGAGTGAGAACAAGGAAAAGGGAGCCACAAGACGGCGGCGAGACTCTTGGGATAACCCAGTAGACGATGGGAAGTCTTCGGGTGTTGGCAAGCTCAAGATCTCCCGCGAGATGAGGGAGAAGCTGGAGGCTCTCACTTCATCTCATCCATCAAGGTACGTGTATGTGGGTGATTATTCTCTCGTGCACATCTCGTTAGATGGCTAAATAATCTTGGTTAATGATGCAGCTCGTACTGAGGTGTTCAGATGTGATGCTTGTAGTTCCACTCTCAGGTACTATTTATTCAGGTATGACTGCTATTAGTCAGGGGAAACTCGCTTGACGCAGATCTTAATCATAAAATGGCCTGATCAGCGGTGCTGACCCGGTGGTGGGAGTGCGACACGATATTGGTGTCTTAGGACACGTGGAGATGGGGCAGCATTTGCCCCATGGACAGGATGCTGCAAGATGGTGGTCTAACGATACTTGTAAAGGTTGGGTGGTCGATGGCCTCATTTAAGGCCATAGCAACAGTGATCACTGGTTTACCCGTCCTGGTCTCAGTGGTGAGAGTTGACTGTGATGCTGCTTGAAATTTCTCAATGCAGTACTCAAAAAACTTACACATTATTTCAGTTGCAATAAAAATCCATCTCCAAAACTCTCAGGCTTGTAAAATAGTTCCACTTATATCAATTTCTTAATCTTTGTACAGCTTAATGTTCATAATTCATAATGATATTTCTCATACTTTCTATTACAGTAAATCAGTTCATCCACTGATATTGTTTTCAATGACTTCCTTCGTATCTTATATAAAGCTGAGCCCCAATATACTGTTATTCATTTTATAATTAACAATTAGGATAAATTGCTCAATGTTTATAATAAAAACAATATAGATGAAAATATTTAGAAGACAGATTACCAATAAATACTGTGCATATGCCAGTATTATAACTACCTGTATGTAAGTAATTGCTCAGGGGCCGAACTGATAGTAAATGTTATTAAAGGATGTGTTGAATTTTCTCTATTAGAGCTCAAAAAGGCCCCGTGATGCAGATGCAACAGCAGCAACAACAGCAACAGACGAGAGGCATCAAGAAGCTTGAGGCTCACCGCCGTTTTCTTCTACAACACCAGCTGGAGGGAGACAAGTGGGACACGGTAGATTCCATCAAGCAAGTCACTTCTAAAGTAGATAAAGGGGGATCAGTGCCCCCTCCTCCACCTGTAGCACCCCCAAGTGTGTACATGAACCGGAGGCCCCCATCCCCAGCACCCTCTGTGTCCTCCCAGGAGAGCTCCCCCGTCATTCCCCAGCCCAGGTCTCCTCCTCTACCTATCCAGCCTTCAGGGTTCCGGACCACTGTGGACTACCATGCTGACAATAGTGACCGCCGAACCTCTGTCTCCACTATGCACACAGAGAAAACGGAACATTTCGAACGTAAGTACAAAAAAATGTTGCAAATATGCTGTGAAATCGAAAAAAATAGCTGATTTATTTATTATATTTTGTATTTTGCTTGGAAAGAATTCGAAATACATGTAATGCACTTTTATTATATTTTGTTGCGTTTTTGTGTACTCATGCAGTTGAGGAGTCATCAGAGTTCCTACAGCCAGTGGACAGTGCACCAGTGTTGATCGACCAAGAGATGGAGAAGAGGTCATACGAGGCCATAAAGACCAGACTCCTCCCAGCTCCTCATGGCTCTCACATCACTTACTCCCGCGTCCCCTGGTCTCTCACACTCAGGAAAGAGGTTGGAAATTTACATCTACTTATGATGGTTTTATAGTTAGCAATTTGACTCGTAGTCAGTATTAAAGACAGTAGTACATACTTTGTGAAGCAGTAAAGTTGTGTGGGTCATTTTTATGAGGAGTCGTGGTTGCTCCATAATTGAGAGATATACGCATTGCTTTACTGTACTCTCCTAGTTTAGTTTTATATAATGACCACAATATGCAGACAATAATTTTGGTAATGTATTCAGGAGAGATGAATTTCTTTTCGTATGAATGAAACTAGCACTGTTCAATTTCATGAACCTGTTTGATTTTTATTATACGGTACAGTAATTAATAAAATATTTATAACTGAGCTTGTTACCTTTACAATGTTGCTGTGTTGGTATAATCTGAATACCAAGAGCCTCTCTTGCCTGTTGGAGATAATAATTTGTTCAATTTTGTTTCCACTAGTTGTTTATCCCTGGAGAGCAGTTGTACGGGGATGCTCTTCACCTGGTGTTCTGCCAGGTGGTGCTCGATGTATATGCAGGCAACACTCCCAGGATCACACTTGATCAACGCACACACATGAGGAAGGTGGGTCATCCAGCATTTTAACCTAAGAGTATTTATTTGACCATTGGAAAAATTCGCTTCACATTGTCATCATCTTATTGGTAGGTGTGTCAGTACCTTGTTATTACATTTCATGAAATATTAAACCCCATATTGGTTGTTTAACACAGAACTGGAGGCTCTATCCTCCGTCCTGATATCAGTAGAGTTCAGGGATACATAAACGTTTTTTGTTTCCTTGGTGATAACAGATGTTGGACAATAGAGGCGTGACTCCCAACAACACCTTTTCACCTCACCACAAGAACTCTCTGAAGAAGGAGATCGTTGAGATGGCCAAGACATGGCCCCTCTACTTTGCTGCTATCTTCCCCGTCACTGTAAGTCCTTCCAGTGTGCCTAACTTTTTTTTAGGTTGATCTCTCTTACTAATTTATAATACATATATAATACCTTGTCATCTTTGCTAGTTTACATCAGTGGTTCTTAACCTTTTAAAAGCCCCAGTAACCCCTGAGTTGTCTTTTTTTCGTACCTCCTATCAGAAATAATTTAACTTTAATTTCTTTCAGAAAATCATATTTTTTACAACAAAAATAAATATAAATGTGAGAAAGAACTTTTATGCATTCAGTCATACACAGAAAAAAATACATTTGTCTTATTTAGTTTCTCTCTTGTTGTTTACGTTCATAAGTGATGATGCTGGGTCGAGTTTCTTTTTTTTAGAAATTGCCATTTGCATCAAGAAAGGTTCTAGCCATTGTTTTTATGTGCTGAAGTGTTTAATAAAGCTCTCATACAAAGGTGGTGGCAAACAGCACGAGAACCTCGTAAACTTTTTCAGCTAACTGTGGGAACGTTTTGAGTTCTGCACACCTAAGGTTTTCTACTGACATTGATTCAAATCCCATTCGAATTCCTTCATTAGCTTTCTGTTCAAGAAGATCGTCTTTCATTATATCACTAGCATTCATGAAATCCAGATTAAAAATAAATGGATTTCTGTATCCATCCTTAAGTCACAGAAATCTCTAGGAGGTGAACGTAACTTCAGATAGACTGAGTCAGTTTCTGTAGATGATGTCTCACTTCAGTCTCGATGGACAGTTATTTTTCCACACCATCAATCTCACTGAGTGAAGGAAAGTTTGGTCTGAATTCGATTTATACAAATGGAAGTTTTTGGTGAAGACCTGACAACCTTTCCCTGAAAGTGATCATATTAATTCCCGCTCCTTGGATGGAAGTCATTAGTTCTCACAATTCATTCTCGTAACCTAACTTTGCCTTTTCGTCCTGTCAGAGGGTACAGATACCCTAGGTTAACAACTACTGGTTTACATAATAGTAAATCTCGTATTATGCTAATAAAGGTTTGTAATATATAGGGTTGGTGTAGTATAAGTAGTTTTACCAACAATGTGTGTATATGTCCGTGTGGGTGAGCTGTATTCATTTGGTAATAAATATTTTAATATTCTGGATGCAGTAGTGAGTTGACTAACTTGCAGTTTGCTATAAATTCCATCCTGTTCAGTGTTTTGTTTTGATGTTTCACAGGGTTATAGAATGACCAAAAAGAAAAATAGAAAATTATGCCACACTTATACATGTTAAGACTTTTATTGGTGTTAATATTAGACTTTGTGTTAATGATGTGTGTTGTATGGTAGGGGTCACGTAAGGCAGGCGATGTGGAGATGCTGGCTGTCTCACACTCAGGTATCAGACTCCTACGTCGCGACCACAACCACTTCAGTATCATCAGCACCTTCAAGTAAGTCCTCACACCTCAACACCATCGGCCAACAGACTTACATCTCTCTGCTCTTTCAATGCACACACCTGCTGTTTTCGTGTTCTCTCAAAACACACACACACACACACACACACACACACACACACACACACACACACACACACACACACACCTACCCTACCTTACCTTACCTACCTGTTTGTGTTTCCCAACACACATCTACCTGTTTCTTTTCCCTCACCATACACACCTTCCTGTGTGTCATTAATAACAGCTCACCCGGCCATTGATACCGAGTGTTTAGTACCGTAAGCTACTTTTTTTTTTTACACTGTAATAATTGTGATGTTTTATTTTCTATCAAGTTACCCACAGAAAGAATATTACGTAATTGATCCTTTTTCTTGATTGTCAGCACGGTAGAGGAGGCAGAGTGCCCACGAGCCGGGTCACTGAGACTGGTGGCCGCTGGAGGCACCAGGATGATCCTCTATACCCCGAGGGCTAAGCAGATAGCTGCCATCCTCCACAAATACATCTCCATACCAAAACCTGTGAGTACTAGTGACTTGAACCTGTCTCCCTGTTTGGTGTTTGATTTGCTGAACATAAATTCTGGCGCATACACACTTGCATTTGCAGGTGTATAAGTTGTACTCTCGTATACACGTGTATGCATACCACTTCATATTCTAGCAAACACTCCCATAAACAAATGTTCACTTACAAACTGACAAACTCACTCACTCTTACACACACACAACACACACACACACACACACATCCAGGAGCTATGAATCGACCCCTGCAACCACAAATAGGCGAGTACACACACACACACACACACACACACACATCGGAGGCGCACATCAACTAAATAACTGCTGCAGCATATGGGCGCCTAGCAAACCTAAGAACACCATTCCGACATCTTAATAAGGAATCGTTCAGGACCCTGTACACTGTATATGTCAGGCCTATATTAGAGTATGCAGCACCAGTTTGGAACCTACACCTAGCCAAGCATGTAAGGAAGCTAGAGAAAGTGCGAAGGTTTGCAACAAGACTAGTCCGGAGCTAAGGAGTATGGCCTACGAGGAGAGGTTAAGGAAATCGATCTGACGACACTGGAAGACAGGCGAGATAGGGGGGATATGATAACGACATATAAAATACTGAGAGGAATCGACAAGGTGGACAGAGACAGGATGTTCCAGGGATGGGACACAGTAACAAGGGGTCACAGTTGGAAATTGAAGACTCAGATGAACCATAGGGATGTTAAGAAGTATTTTTTTAATCACAGAGTTGTCAGGAAGTGGAATAGTTTGGGAATTGATGTAGTGGAGGCAGAATCCATACATAGCTTTAAGACGAGGTATGATAAAGCTCATGGAGTAGGAAGAGTGACCTAGTAGCGGCCAGTGAAGAGGCGGGGCCAGGAACTGTAAATCGACCTCTGCAACCACAACTAGGCGAGTATACACTCCTCTCTTCACTTAAAAGCTAAATACGAAGGGAAAATATAAGATGGACTAAACCCACGAGTGTGGTGCCACTTATTCCTAGAGGAAGAAACAGGGAAGGATTACCAGGAATCGAAGTCCAATATTCACCTTCATAGCAAAATCATTGTTTGCTGAATGCCTAGTGAACTGAGAACTGATTGATGGCAAAAGAAAAGGGAGGGGGGGGGGGTTGCTCCAAGGGAGTAGATTTGAGCTCAAAGCAAAGGGAAAAATGCAGTGCCCTTGAGAGTGAGCAGAATGGCATACAAGAGAGGTTAGTATATTAAAATAAAGGAATTCTAAGCTGAAGTGCGATGAGAAATAATTAGGTGGAAGGTGAGCACAGAATATGATGGAATACCTCAGTACCCAAGACGTGAGGGAGCTTGAGAAGGGCCAGGAGATTTACAACACTCTAGAATGTTTATAATGGCAACATAAGTGTTTCTCGAAGATAGATAATGACTGAAAAAGAAGATTAAGTACCATAATGAGTCAGGTAAGAATTAAACATTGTAAAAATATAGTACAGAGGGTGATAAATAAGTTATTGTGTAGGTGATCTCCATACAAAAATATACTGCAGTGTAATAAACAAGATCCCGTGGGAGGTGATCACACACAGCCGTAAAATATATACAAACCCGTGGGGAGGACACAACAGCCGTAAATATAACAAGACCCCGTGGGGAGGGGACACTACACACTAAATAACAAGACCCGTGGGGACATACAGGTAAATATAACAAGACCCCGTGGGGAGGGGACACTACACCAGCCGTAAATACAACAAGACCCCGTGGGGAGGGGACACTACACCAGCCGTAAATATAACAAGACCCCGTGGGGAGGGGACACTACACCAGCCGATTACTTTAAAACATACGGGGCAGGATAGCTAAACAGTCCCCGCAAACACGCGAGCACGTATTTGTGGTGTACACATACACAGGTACACCACAGACAGGTAATCACCAACACAAAAAAAATATACATGCTGTACATAAAAACGCATATACTTAGAACTGATAACTTAACCTTCAAACTACTTGGCAGCAAGAATTAAAAGAGAAGAAAGTATTTTACATCTAGCCTAGCAAGCCTGAATATTAGTATTGGTTGTTTGGTCGCGGCAGAATCATGCGTACTTATAAAACGTACGTGAGGTTCGTTTTTGTAGCCACCGGAAGTTGAAAATTTCCGCAGTGGACTTTCCTCCCTAAACCCTCTATTCCACATCGCTCCTCTCCCTTCCCACCCACTCCCCCCAGCCATCTCCTCCCTCCCTCCCCCTACTTGTGGTTATGTACTGTGTAAATGTATTTTTTGGTTATGTGGACGTTGTTTTATTCTGAGTAATAAAAGTGAGAGAGAATGTTAGGAGTGTACCTTCAACTTATCTAGCAATGCAACCGATAAATAGGTGCAGTTTGATATATATTAGGAGGGAAGCTCCTAATATATATATCACAGTGCAAATATTTTCTGACTTTGTAAAATGCAGCTGCTGTAATTGGGTAAGAAACAGTAAACAACAGTGATGTGTTGCTCTTTGTATGGTGGTCCCAACAAAGGTTTAAAAGCTATTGAAAATATGCAAACAAACTTGAATGTAGAGGAGTACATATAGGAACTGGTAGAGCTAATTTCCATCGAAATGAAATGAGTCGAGTAAAACAATGTATGACGTATGTAAGAAGATCAGTAGTTTACAGTTTGTTTGCGGCTGGGATATGTAAGTACCATCGGTAGTTCAGCTTGTATGAATCTTTCTCATGTGAATCGTTCAGTACTCGCTTATTTGTGGTTGCAGGGGTTGAGTCTCGGCTCCTTGCCCCGACCTCTTCACTGCCTGGATCTTCCTTCTCCTGGTTGCGTGAGCCCTATCATACCTATTCTTTAAACTGTGTATAGATCATGCCTCTTCCACTTTCGTCTAGGTCGTTCCAGCCCCTGGCCAATCTAGAGTTAGAGAAGTATTTCCTAACAAGCCCGTCATTCTGTGTTTGTAACTTACGTCTGTGTCTTCGTGCACCAGAGACCCGCCTCTGAAACAAACTTTCACTGTCCATCCTGTCAGTCCCTGTTAGTATTTTGTACGTTGTAATCTTGTCACCCCCGATCCTTCTGTAACTTGTCATCAGGTTTAGCTCCTCTAGCCTCTCCTCATAACTCATACCCCCTTAGTTTTGGGACTAGTTTCGTTGCAAACCTTTGCACTTCTCCAGCTTTTTGCCATGCTTTATCAGATGTGGGTTCTGTACTGGTGCTGCATACTTCAAGTTGAGCCTGATGAATGCCATTTATGGTGTAGTGAATGAGGTTCCTGAAAGCTGTTTTCAAATTTGCCAGTCTCGCGTTTGCTACGGCGGCCAGTGACACAGGTTCTAGCTTAATGTCACCTATTTATTCTCTTTTTAAATAACGAAGTTACTTTTGCTATTTTCCACACTTTCAGCAGCAGCAATGCTGCTTCATTTGACTTATTGACCAACTTGGCTAGTGGTTCACATAGTTCTTCTGGCCCCTTTCTCATGACCCATGGGGAGATGTCTGATCCCATTGTCTTCGAGGTGTCTACCTTGCTTAGCAGTTTCTTCAACCTCTTCTCCTGTTGTGTGTATTATGTTCAGTACTCGTTGGTGCACTCTTCCTTTTCGACTCTCTGATAATGTTCTTATTTCTACTTAGAATACCTCCCCTAAACCTTTGTTCAGCTCCTTGCAAATTTCCTGGGCATTTTGGCGAGTTTAACTTCTTCATTTTTCAGCCTTATTTCCTGATCCTTCACAGTTGTCATCTTTCTGATGCTGTTGCAGTAGTTTTGACTCAGATTTGGCTTTCGATGCTAGGCCATTCTCACACTGTTGTTCAGCCTCTCTTCTTATCCATGCATATTCATATCTGGCACTTCTGTTCGCTTCTCTTATCTCAGGCGTTCTTTGCTTTCTGTATTCCACACTCTTGCGCTTTTATTTTTTGCCTCTCTACATCTCTGAGTAAACCGTGGGTTCACTCTGTTCTTTCCTGTTCTTCTGCTTCTGGGTGTGAAATTTTCCTCTGACTTCCGGCACGTTCCAACTAAATGCTCCATTTTCTTTGTTGTCTTTCCATCTAGCTCCTTTTCCTATGGAACTCCACTTAAAAATTGCCTGATGCCTTCAAAGCCTCCTGAAATAAGGTTTGTCCCTTCACGCTCTGGTTTCTCTACTTTCACTTTCACAAGATATCTAAAATTCAATACTACGTGTTCACTAGCACCAAGGAGCCCTCTCATATTCAATGTTCCCTACATCAGAGTCACTTTGGATGAATACATGATCCAAACTCGCTGGGCCGTCCTCTTCTTTCTCTCTAGTGTCCCTGAAATATTGAACTCGTGAAATTTTCCCTCACTACCTTCACCAACTTAGCCTCCCACGTTTCCGGTCTCCCTTGTGCCGGATTAAAGATCAGCCCAACCAAGGCTGTAGATAAATTCTGCAGTGGATAAATTCAACGAGATACATTATGTATAAAGACTACGACTAACACATGCTCATTTATTTAACCCCGGAGGGTTACTAACCCAATAGTTGTGATGAATTTGACTCACGAAATCGTAATGACACGATTGCAAACAAACCATACCACGAGTGGGGTTAGAACCCGCGATCAGAGAGTCTTAAAACTCCAGACCGATGCGTTAGCCACTGGGCCAGCTAGCCACAATAAGATTCATCCAATTAGTTATATTCATACACCATAGGAAGGTTAGCACAGGCACCACTGTGACCACAAATGCAAGTTTTACAGACGAATCTCCAGCTAGCCCGTGTTATGGTTTGTGATGTATTTCCATCGTAGTCTTTTCCCTTGGATGCTACCCACAACGGTCGACTAACAGCTAGGTTCTACTTACTGCAGAGTGAACAGGGACAGCCAGTGTATGGAGATTTGCACGAAAGATCAACTTTCCGCTTAGGAATCGAACCCACGTTCTTTCGCTTGTGTGCAATATTCACCAAATATAAAAGTGGTGTATACTGAGTGGGCAGAGGATTGAG